CAGTGAACATTCGTCCTGCTGGTGAAGAGAACGTGAGAAGACAAAGAAAAAAAGAAAGAAGAGGAGAGAAGAGGAAAGGAAAGGAAAGAAAAAGAGAAGGGAAGGGAAGGGAAGAGAAGGAAAAAAAGAAAAGAAAGAAAAAAAGCATCCACTAAATTCTTGTAAACCAAATAAATAATTTGGGGGATATAGTGAGTATAAATAGCATTAGCTACTTTTGTTTTGTTTTTTTGCGTTCTGCGGGCCTCTCACTGTTGTGGCCTCTCCCATTGCGGAGCACAGGCTCCGGACGCGCAGGCTCAGCGGCCATGGCTCACGGGCCCAGCCACTCCGCGGCATGTGGGATCTTCCCGGACCAGGGCACGAACCTGTGTCCCCTGCATCGGCAGGCGGACTCTCAACCACTACGCCACCAGGGAAGCCCAGCATTAGCTACTTTTTAAAATAAACCTTTTCAGGGCTTCCCTGGTGGCACAGTGGTTAAGAATCCGCCTGCCAATGCAGGGGACACGGGTCCGAGCCCTGGTCCTGGAAGATCCCACATGCTGTGGAGCAACTAAGCCCGTGTGCCACAGCTACTGAGCCTGTGCTCTAGAGTCCGCAAGCCACAGCTGCTGAGCCCGCACGCCACAACTACTGAAGCCCATGCAGCTAGAGCCCGTGCTCTGCAACAAGAGAAGCCACTGCAATGAAAAGCCCACGTACCACAGTGAAGACCCAACGCAGCCAAAAATAAATAAATAAATTTATATTAAAAAAACCCCAAATACTTTATTTGAATGTCTAAAATAATATTTAATGTCAGTTTTATTAAATATTAGAGAAAGTTTTATATTTCTACTTAAACTGAAAAAGTTTTGCTTTTAATAATATCCAATTCTGAGGTGAAAATCTCTCAGAAAAAAACTAACATTGATTCCTTAAAATTAGGAATTCAGATTTTTACGAAAACAGACAAATCAATGTTTTTTTATATGAAAACATGTATTCCCTTTGTAAAAAAAAAAGACATGATCTCCAGAGAATTCCTAAAGTCATTGTTTGTCTTTCTACAAGCGGTATATAAATTCCTTCCTGTTGGGTTTGCCATTATGATTAGCATCATTGTTGGCGATATTTGCCGTCATCTGCTTACTTTTTTCTCATGTATTTGGAATGCTTATGAGTAAAAGTCTTCTTTTTAAATATAATTTGTTAAAGAACATTTTGAAAAATCCCAAAATCAAATTTTCATACTTAACATAATTATTGAAAATACTTATTCAAAATACGTTTATTCTAGCTGATGTTTACTATTTATTGAGCATTCACCAGGTTGCATGCAATGCCTTTTCTGTATTTTTTCCCCTTTCCCAAAGAAATGGAAGTCATTTAATTCAAGAATTCTTACCAAAGATGTATGAATTTATGCACACTTACGATCTTCTGAGGATGATCTATAACACCTGTTTTCAACTAAATTGAAGGAAATACCCTGTATAATGCATGTTCTGTCAGAAAAGCAATATGGGAAATGAAAGCTAACATTTCATGAGGCTGCTACGTCACTTCATATTGAAAGGTAGGTCAATCAATCAATCTTTGAAAAAATTACTGGTACTCATTTTATGTGAAATACTTCACTACATGTTTAAAGGGAAATATAATATGGAAACCTACTTCCCAAAGTTTTTGCATTATAATTGGTGGCATCCTAGCATGATAGGAGCCAAAAAGAACAAAAAGAAATGCTTCCCCTGTATACCTGTGGTACTTGTCAGACAGTCTTAGGATATAGGTAGAGGGATGCTTCACAGAGGTAAAAAGACATTAATCTATTAAATGATGAGAGAAAAAAGCTGTAAAATAAGTTTCACAAATTAAGTAAATCTTCACACACCTATAACCTTGAAAATATAACTTCAGGAGTTTTCAGAGCAGAATGTTGCAAACCTTCTAAGAGGATTCATAATGTTAGCCCTGTAGCCTGAGACTTACATTAAAAGGCTTCTGTGAACATTAATCCACTTCCCAATGAGTAGTCTTGACAGATTCAAGAATAAAAATCAAGGATTGGTCAATTGTCATTCTCACTCCTTCCCTGGCAATTCATTTGGCATTGTGCAGACCTATCCAGAGAGCTTAGCATGAAACACTGTGAAGAGGTGCTTGAAATTGAAACGTTTGAAATTTCAGAGGACTTAAATGAAGTTGAGTTAGCCTGGCCTCATTTTCCTGGTCAGTAAAGGCTTTTCAGATAGTAAAAACCTACATTTTAGCAGTGTATTCTACATAAATAAAAGAATCTTCACATAAGACATCTATTTTAATTAAAGTTGGAAAATGGAGTGCTTGAAAAACAAAACTATCTCTTTTCTCAGCTTTCTGGTCTGGAGGTACTTTCCTGAATTTAAAATCAGAAATGTTTAAGTGGTAACAGCAACACATTGGCAGACTTCTCCATCCTTCTGAAATACCAGAGTCATTTACATTTGATGTGCTCTAGTATTTTTAGTGCTCAATCCACCTTCTGAGTAGCCGGAGTGTCTTTCTAAGAATTCTGCCAGAAATCAAAAATGTCACCATTTGTAATCTGTATTATGTTTTAGGCAGCTAACAACTGAGAACTTTGTCTTCACCTGATGATTTGGAGTAGACTCTGTCAGGGGGCCAATGACAAGTCAAGAGAATGAACTGGAACTGGAACTAAGAACTAAGAATCTGGGAAAGGAGAAAACAGGGATGGTGCTCAGTCAGAATCCTTTTTAGAGAATATTAGTTAATCCTACTAGCCTAGAAAAGCAAAATCAATGTACAAATCCAAAGGCAAGGAGAGGGTACGAAAAATGCAGATACAGCCGGAGCCCAGATCTCTGAAATAGAAGGGCAGTGAGATGGTTGTGAAGCAAGGCTGACCCAGAAAAGCTACTGCAAGTGTGACTGGAGTGGCCTGCTTACTATTCTTTGCTGTTGAGACATGCAGCAAGTTTCAAAGGGTCAGGCTGCCTCAAAGGTATGAAGTCAGGATATAGAGCTAATAGGCAAGTTGGAAATCTATGAAATTAGATAATGCAGTAAGGGCTTCAACTGTGATATATATATCCTAATGAGAAAAATTCACATTTATTGTAGTGCCTGGTATAGGACTAGGTTCCAGAGCATTTTGTCATTGTTAAAATCCTTGCTTGTCAAACTTTCTTCATTATATATTGACCTCATTTTGTTAGTTAAGAGTTAAGTTTTTAACTTAAAAATAAATAGAATTATTTAGTATGCCCTACACTAAAGCTACTTTCCATGATCTTCCATAATATCCATTATCATAGCAGTCATATCTGCTATGATGTGACTGACCACTTGGATATGGTACCTATATTGCCATCTACTGGAAACTATTTCAAATTACATCGGAAACAACAGACCACAGAGAATGCTGCTGTAAGAGTTCAGTTCTTTATACAGTGACATAATGGTGAAATTTCTGGTAGACAACATGGTAAAAATAAGCACTATGTGATAACTCTGCTTTCAGTTCTTAATGAATACAAACAGCCTGTGTGAATTTCTTCACTCAATGTGCCGGACGTGATTTTGTACAATCAACACCTCATCACCTGATGGTTCTAAATGTTCTGTTTTTGACACACAGGGATGCTTCAAAGTTTTATTAATAAAGTAAAAGACTGGACTTACCTGGTGGCGCAGTGGTTAAGAATCCGCCTGCCAATCCGCCAGCAGGTGCAATCCCTGGTCCAGAAGATCCCACATGCCGTGCAGCAGCTAAGGCCATGTGCCACAACTACTGAGCCTACGCTCTAGAGCCCGTGAGCCACAACTACTGAGCCCGCGTGCTACAACTACGGAAGCCTGTACACCTAGAGCCCATGCTCCACAACAAGAGAAGCCACTGCACTGAGAAGCCCGCGCACCGCAACGAAGAGTAGCTCCCGCTCGCTGCAACTAGAGAAAGCCTGTGCGCCGCAACGAAGACCCAACGCAGCCAAAAAATAAATAATAAATACATTATTTTAAAAAAGTAAAAGGGGCTTCCCTGGTGGCGCAGTGGTTGAGAGTCCGCCTACTGATGCAGGGGACACGGGTTCGTGCCCCGGTCCGGGGAGATCCCACATGCCGCGGAGTGGCTGGGCCCGTGAGCCATGGCCACTGAGCCTGCGCGTCCAGAGCCTGTGCTCCACAACGGGAAAGGCCACAACAGTGAGAGGCCCACGTACCGCAAAAAAAAAAAAAAAA